CCGATCAGTTTCAAAATCATTTTCAAAGCTTTTGAAAACATTAATTTTATAACATACGTGCCACGGGCAAGGCCGGGTTATACCCGCTAGTATATACATATGTATGTAATAAAATGATAACACATAAAAGCCACTCACCCATATGCAGAAGCGAAGTCGAAGGCCTGCCTGTCTGTTGGGGTTTTTTTTGTTTTTTAAATACTTTTTCATTTCCATTTATATTTATTGTTGGGCCGCTTAGAATTTTATTGTGCTGAAACATAATTAATATTTCGTTTCTGGCCGATTTACAGACGATTTCATTTGTCAACCACATCTATACATATTACGAGGAATATATGTTTCAGGATATGTAAGCAATATATAGGGGAAATATAAACTTTAGCCCTTTTCGGCTTATACACTTTCTTCTGCGATTGATTTGTTTCTATTTAATGAACTGATCTAGAGTAACATTTAACTCAGCTGCTGCTACACGTTTTTAGTTGATTTTTGCGTTCGCCTCATTCTCATGTCTGTAAGTATGTGTGTATAATTTTATATATACATATATATTCATGTCTATGTACATACATACATATATATGCCTGTATATGAGTATGTGCACTGCAAATGAAGTAGACTTTTGAATCTCTATCAAATATTAAAGTTTGTATTCTTTCTCTACCTTATTTTGCAGCTCTGTTAAGTGCCTGTTAACACTACTTGCTGCTGTTGTTGTTGTCGTTGCTGTTATTGTTGCCGTTGTTCACATTGTCAGGCTCTTATGAAAAAATGACTGGCAAACCAATTATATTTTTGTTTGTTTAGCGTGGGCACAGCCTCAACAACAACACCTGGTAGCAGCATGGTAAATGTTTGCTGCAAAACACCTGGTAAGGTGACAAACCGTCTTATAATAAACCTGCAGCAGCTAACATTTTTATTGAAAGCAATTCACTCGAGAAGCTTGTGTATTAAAAAAAAAAAACACAAGCAGAGCATACTAACGAGCAAAAGGAATTAAAGCTAAATAACAGCAAACGCTGAAAATGTTATGACTTTTAAAAAATATATATATGTACCTCTAGGTAACTAGCTGTAGCTCAAGCTCAATATATGTATGTACACATATCTGCCACTCCATATATACAATATATATATATATTTATATCTATATACATACATATATTCGTATTGCTTATCTGACCGCAGCAAGCGTCGCTGTTGCTTTGGCTGTTAAGTTGTTTGGTTTTTGCTTTAGTTTACTTTCGAGCCTGCCAAAATGGAAGCAGCGGCAAAAACTGACAGAGTGGCAAAAAAGGCAGCAACAACAAAGTTTTAGCTGAAAACCAAACAAAAAGTAAACAATGCAAAGTTGCAAAAGCAGCGGCGGCGACACCGCAATGCAAATATGCCAACAACAGCAACAACTACAACGACAACAACAACAACAAGAACAACAATAACAATGCGAGGAGCGCTGAAACAAAACGTGGATAACGCAAAGTGACAAGCCGCATACAGCGCCAACGCTTGAGGCACTTCCTACAAAGATGGGACGTTGCGAACGGCAGCTGGACTTTCATCCAGGACAACACACACACACACACACACACATACACAACCACACGCACACACAGAGGGAACAACAGGACGGCAGGACAACGGGCCTGTGTTGCCAGAGGTTGCTGCCGGGGCATGCCCGGCCAGTGGCAGGCACCGCAGCCAGGCCACTGAGCCGCGCCCATTTACGTGTGACCCAAAAATGGCAGCCATAACAAATTAAGAAGGTTACCTTTATAGACATGGACAGCCCCCCAACACAACACTCCTCCCCTCCCCACCTTGACCATCCTCATTGTGGCAACTGCAACAAATACAAATGCTTGATAAGAGTACTCACACATATTTTAATGAAGCGTTTTATGCAACTTCACAGCCCGTTTCCTATAGTTAATTAAATACATAAACCTAACGTAAGTGTATAAATATTAGAAATATTGGAATTTCCCAAATCGCTGAAATACGTATTCATTAAGTTCTTATTGAGAGCTTTGAAAATCAGTTTGAAGCAAATCGGGCACAACTTAAAACTTCGCACAAAAAATCTTTAAATCGCATTCCACCCGAAAAAGTTTGGATTCTGCGAAAAGTGTGAAACACGTCTCAAATGATTTTTCTTATAGATCTCTGGAAATGAATTTGAGCGCGAAACGTCACCCACCAAATCTTTGACCTCCATTTCGGATCGTTAACAAAAAACTTTCATACAACCGTTTTCAATCATTCAATTCACATGGCAGTTGGATGTGTTTCTTATGCATATATTTTAGCCGTACGCTTTTTATCTTAAGCACTTTTAAAAAAATGGCCTTTTGCCAGATAAACCGTTAAAATTCCCCATAGTGCTATGGCTTAAATTCTGGCCGACTTTCAACCACTCCACGTTTAATTTGTAGCTGCGCAACGAGAACATCGTCTGGCAACGCCCACAGCATGCCAGACATTTATTGAATTTTTGACTTGAAGCATTTAACATTTTAAACGTAAAAGTGTCGTACGCACCCGTAATAATGCCCGGAAAGCTGGGATAGGGATATCGTCGACTCCTAGTTGCAGGCTTGTGCCCCCCACGCCCCCCTTCCAGCGTACCCACTGGATCACCCGTTCGATATTTTTGGCACATAAATTGCCGGTCTGCCCTGGGCCGCCTGTTTGTTGTTGTAGTTGTGGTTGTTATTCTTATTGTTGGTGTTGTTGTTGTTGATGTTGTTGCTACTGTTGTTGTTGTTGTTGTTGTTGTTATAACTGGTGTTGCTACCGCTGTTGTCTTCCATTTAGGCGCAGCATGTTTTTTCTTTTTGCATGTGTATGCACGCATACATGCATATGTGTACATACATATATTGACATATAGTATGCATGTGAACGTGTGCGTGTGTGGCGTGTGCGTGTGTGTGTGTGTGTGGGTGAGGCGTGTGCGTATGCACAACGGAAATGAATTGAAATTTTAAAACCCACAGCTGCGACCGCTTCCTGCGGCAAAAGTAGCATCCCACACTTCAATACGAATGCGAATACACACATGCCTACGTATGAGTAAGTGAATATCCGTGCGAATACGCATGTGTGTGTGTCCGTTTCTGATTGCTAGCTGCATGTTTCAAAAGAAAAACAAGTAAGAGGTTCCAGTCGGGAGCTCCCGACTAGCGGATACCCTGAACCCTCTTATTCCAAAACCAAATGCAGCTCACGCTACGCGCTTGTTTGCTTACGTAGTATTTAAGATAAATTAAAAAACAAAAATTTTTTCCTTGGCAGGGCTCGAACTCGTAACTGACCGCATTACTTGCTGCCGACTCTACTCGACAGCCACACCAGCCAAAAAAAAAAAAAACAGCTATTTTCATGCTCCAGCTCTTATAGGTTCTGAGATCCTTGCGTTCATACATACGGACGGACGGACAGACGGACGGACGGACGGACAGACGGACGGACGGACAGACGGACATGGCTAGATCAACTCGGCTGTTGATGCTGTTCAAGAATATATATACTTTATGGGGTCGGAGATGCTTCCTTCTGCTTGTTACATACATTTCCACAAATACATCGTACCCTTTTAACCCATTTTCAATGGGTATAAAAGTGCCTTTTTAAATAGAGAACATCCAGTCAGAATTTGTAAATTCTGCAGAGAAGAAAACGAATTTAATTATAAGAAATGAAACTCTTAATGTAAATGTTAATAACATTCTGTCAATAAAAAAATATGATTGTACCACCAAATCTTGTCAATTTTGAAGAGAAGTCGATTCTTGGTACTTGTTACCAAATGTATGATGCAGAGTAAGAATTTCGAGCGTATTTATATATGTGTATTTACATCTACATACAAAAAGAGAGTTAATATCATCTATATATACATATATATATCTGTATCTATATATATGTATGCCCATATGTATATATTCTTTAAATTGTAAGCACTTTATCTCCACAGCTGAGAAATTTGTAGCCACTTTTTGGGCGCCAATCAAATTGAATTTTAATGCTATTTTAATTAAAGCAAAAAAATTAAATAAGTGACAAGCTTATTGAACATAGCAAAATGCCTAAATATTTTTTGCATTACAATTATTTTCCACTGACTGAGCAAATTGCGAATTTTGTTTTCCATTTATTCAAATTTTCAGCTGCAACAGCCAATTAACGCAAATGCAGGTGAGACACATAGAGAAATCACAAAAAAAAAGTCATTAAACAGAACATTTAACTGCGCTATAAAATGGGTTGAAAGGGCTTAATGGTTTTGCGCATGTGTTTGTAACAGGCAGAAGGAAGCAGCTAATGTATTTGTTTTCTTGATCATTACGGCAAGCTAAGTCGATCTAGTCATGTCCGTCGATCCGTCTTTCCTGAATGCATCCATTTGGAGACATGGGACAATTCAAGAGTAAGTAAATATTTTCCATTGATTTGGAAAATTCTCATTTTGGATATCTTTTTAAAAGGTAAAAGGCCTTGCGCCTTTTAATACCAGCCGTGGTATATACATACTTTTCTATGCCAAATTTAAGCTCTAGAAATTTCATAAAGATCAGACTATAAAGACCTTAACTTAATCAAGATTGCATTCCACAGACCTAATGTGGGGCAGCTTAACGCTGCGTTCAGTGTATCTCGGCTTTAATTTGCACATAGTTTGATTAACTAGACATTCTTGGCACATTTCAGACTATTTAATTATTTGATTTTTATTTAATTATTATAAAGGCAACAAAAATAAATGACATATTAAAGACCAAAAAATATATTATAGTAATAAACCCAAACGTCGACAATGATATTGATAATCACATTGATAATGATTACATGCATCAGTAGGCCGCATAAATCTTGCAGTGTTATGTCTAAAGATATGCATTATCGTTAGTGCACAAAAAAAAAATTGATAAGCTGTTGGCTTCTAATTAACCATTGTTTAAAGAATAAGGCGCTGTCTATTACGGATGCCAATGGTCTATACGGATGCCAATGGAACGGTCCAGGTCTACCCAGCCAATTGGATAAACGTGCGCGCCGGCAGCACTAGTAGACTAACCCGCGGTAAGATACACAACATTGTGCAGATTGTGGTTCATGAGAGCTTTGGCAACTTCTTGAATGACGTGTCCGTAATGCTTGTCCAGACGCCGTTCTCATGGACGGACCGAACACTGCCGATAGCGCTGCCCACCAAGAATACGCCAGGCGGTGTCAATGTCACCATTTCTGGCTGGGGTCGCCTCTATACTGGCGGCCCAATGCCATTTAATTTGAAATGGAATACGCTCAAATCGCTTACGTTGGACGAGTGTGAGAGCTCCATTGGCTGGGGCAAGGAATCTTTACTGTGTTTGAGCCATAAGGTGGACAATGGTGCCTGCAATGGCGACTCCGGCGGCCCGGCTCTCTATGATAATGAGCTGGTGGGCGTGGCCGGTTTCGTTGTGGACGGTTGCGATAGCAACTATCCAGATGGCTATGCACGTGTCTATTATCACATAGACTGGATCAAAAAGCACACAGACTTGTAAGAATGCGTATTTTTGTTGTATAGGGAAATCATAATAGTTGGTTCTGATTTCAGTGGAAAATAAAATGTATGTATATTGATAATTGGAAGTTTTATATTGATGAGGCAATCGTTGCTGGTTGGCTGAAGGGGCTGGTGGGGGTGGTGATGACCGCCTCGTATTTTGCATATATTAATCAGGCAATTTTACTCTATATTTGCCAATTATGCGCATTTTTTACCAGCATGACCCAAATTGACACCAATACATACATACATACACACATACATATTTGCGTGTGTGTATATGCAGTATTTGCCTTTTATGGATTCGCTACATTGTCTCATAGCCATTATTGTTGTATTTATGTTTGTAAAATGGCGACAGCCAATCAATAGGAAGCCAATAGATCACGTTTGTAAATATTTTTCTAGTTTAAATATAAATTGTTTTCAAATTAATATAACATGCAATTAAGATTAAACGTCATATTTATTATATATTAATGTATTTAATAATCTCTATACATAAAACTGTTTGTCCTGACTGACTGACTGATTGGTGATCAATGCACAGCCCAAACCGTAAGAGCTAGGAAGCTGCAATTTTCACTGTAGTGATGTAGCTGTTAAGACGTGGTTTCGGGAAATTTCACCCGCAAGTGTGGAAAAATCGCGAAAAACGTTTGTATGCAATTTTTTTGCTTACCATCCGATCGGCCTCAAACTTATTTTCAAAGATCTTTGTTCAAATTCATTTTTCGCACTTTTAGGAAAATCCATTCCTCCTTGGTGGAAATGGAGGTCAAAGATGTGATGGGTGACGTTTCGCGCTCAAATTCATTTCCAAGAATCTACATAAAAAATCATTTGAGACGTGTTTCTCACTTTTCGCAGAATTCAAACTTCTTCGGGGGGATTGCGATTTAAAGATTTTTTGGGCGGCGTTTTAAGTTGTGTCCGATTTGCTTCAAACTTATTTTCAAAGCTCTCAATAAGAACTTAATGAATACGTATTTCGACGATTTGGAAAATTCCACCCGCAACAGTGGTATATTGGCGGAAAACGGTTGTATGAAAGTTTTTTGTTTACCACCCGATCGGCCCCAAACTCATTTTCAAAGATCTATATTCAAATTCATTTGAGGGGTGTTTCAGACTTTTTGAAAAATCCATCCCTCGAAGATTTTGTGGATGACGTTTTGTGTTCAAATTTATTTCCAAAGATCTATAAGAAAAATCATTAGAGACGTGTTTCAAATTTCTCGCAAAATCTAAACTCCTTCGGTGGAAAATGCATTTTTAAGGTTTTTTTGGTGAATTTTAAGAGTTTTCCGATTTGCATAAAAGTTGTTTGATTCCCGTCCGATCAGTTTCAAAATCATTTTCAAAGCTTTTTTGATTTAATAAGATACGTGCCACGGACAAGTTCGGGTTATACCCGCTAGTTATTTATATACATATATATTTAATAATAAATAAAAAATATTAATTTATAACACTATATTCTTTATACATTATAAACATATACAATAGACCTTCTACTCAAAATAATTGCATTCAGTATTTTTTATATATATTTCTATATTTAAGAAACCTTTTACGAATCTCAATTTCATAAAATATTATTCATATATTAATTATGATTAATTATTTAATAATACATACAGAATAGAATAGTATATACATATATATCAAGTATCTTTAATTTTATAGCTATCATCACCTCCCCGCTACTATATCATAGCTATAAATCAAGTAAAAACATCAATTTATGCTGCCCACCAATATAAACCACAATTAAATGCAATTGACTTTTTGAGAATACACAAATATTCTATAACACAATAAGATGTACTGTAGAAAATTTCATCAAGATCGGTTAAGAAACACAATTATTAAAGAAAACTCCTTTTATCAGCGGCAGCAAGCGCAAGTTCTGTTCTGTGAATTACATGTACACACACACATTCATGCGCGACTGCTTTAAATTCTATCAATTCAATTCAGCATTGCTATTGCGATTGTATTGTTTTCTGTGCTGCTATTTTAATTCGTTTTTAACTCATTGAGATTCAGTCGGTGGTGTGGCTGTTGAGTAGAGGCGGCGGCAAGTAATGCGGTAAGTTGCGTGTTCGAACCCTGCGAAGTCAACTTTTTCTTTTTAATTTATCTTTAATACTACTAAAGCGAAAGAGCGCGTTGGTGTTGGAATAAGAGGGTTCAGGCAAAGACAATATAAACACAGTGTTTATATTGTCTTTCGTTCAGGGTATCCCCTAGTCGGGAGCTCCCGACTAGAACCTCTTACTTGTTTCAACTTGTGCTTTGATCTTTTTCTACTTTCTGCCGCTTGTTGGTGTTCTATACGCTATTAATCTAAAAAACTGTCTTTTTACATTTGGCTGCGTTATTAAAGTAGAGACCCATTATAATGGACCATAAAATTGTCTGCTTTAAAAAAACAAAAACAAATGCAAATTACGGCAAGTCAATCCAGCATACCTTGTTGGCTGTGTGATAATGTCGTGCCTTCTAAATGTGCGGGTTACACTGGCCTAGTGGGGGATGCTATTGCCAAACGAAATGGTTTGCACTATAGTTGCGACTCGTGTAGGGAGATTGATGTTGAAATGCGGGCGTTTATGCGTCAGACCAGGAGTGGCTTTAGGGGTCTGATAGTTGGTTTTCGTAAACTAAACGATCAACTCACAGCCCTGGATACCAATTCAATAGCCTCAAACTGTTGGATGAGTCTCTAGGGCCTAAAAAGCCCACTCCTTGTGATTTTCCGTTGCCTAATACCCTTCAGCCTCCGACTGCAATTCAGCAGCCTACTACACCGATTACACAGCAGCTCATCTCGTTTACTACTCCGGTAGCTATGAGGTCTGCTGTGGACACTGGATCTGTCCCGAAATGTGTGACATCGGCACGAGAAAACCCAGTCGAATTATCCGTGTCGTCCGCTGTCGTAGAAGTTCCGAAAAAGCGATAGCAACAATTAAATTTACAGCAGCCGCTAGAAGGTTCGTCGTCCGGACTACCGGCTGTTTTAGGTACCACAGCAAAAAGTGTTCCCACTGTCCTACCTGTGGCGCCTAAGCCTCTAGTGGGTGTTCCTCCGAAGAGACATATTTTTGTTTCTAGGCTTTCACCTCACTTCTCATCAGATGATGTAAAAGCGGAAGAGAAATTTGAGTTCGCCTATGAAAGGGATATTGCATCCTTTAAAATAAGTGCTCCGCCAAAAATATTTACTAACATTTGTTGTAAAGAGTTTTGGCCGGAACACTTAATAGTCAAAGAATATAAGGCCAAAAAGAAAAATAGGACTCCGATTTTATTACCACCTGTTTCTAGTGGCGCATCAACTTTAGTTGCTGCGTCAAAAAACTAAATTCTTCTTTCGAGCTTTCCTACCAGAATGTTAGAGGGCTTTAATCTAAGTTCGTTAATCTGTATTAAGATTCTCTTGCTTTTCATTTTCAAATTATCGCGTTTACTGAGACCTGGCTGAAGCCGGACATCTCAGACTCTTCAATGTTTACCTCCAAATACACCACTTACAGCTTCCCGTATCGGAGTAGGAGTACTCATTGCTGTCGAGTCTGCTCTTTCGTTGGAACGCATTGAACTTCCCATCTCAGAGATTGAGTTGGTGGCTGTAAGAGTTGTATTTGGAAGTTTTTCTATCTTTATTTCGTGTTTATACATATATACCCCCTCCACCTAACTTGTCCATTTATCAAACTCATCTTAATGCTATTAAGTCCCCTACTTTCTGGGGACTTTAATCTCCCGATGTCGATTGGTCATCGCCATCAGATTCAAACTTTCTATTGCCGTCTTCATCCAACGAATTTATTGATGGTCTACATGAAATGTCCCCACGGCAGGTTAATCGTGGGCGCAATTTAAGAACCAGTTCTCTTGATCTAATTTTCGTGTTGGATTCGTTCGACAGTGCACAGGATTAATCCGCTTACGCTTCCCGAAGACCCTTTTCATCCAACTCTGGATATGGTCATTGATCTACCAGCCCGAGTTCCTATCAAGGAATCCGAATTAGCTGAACGTGTCCGTTGTTTCCGAAAGGCTGATTTTCATAAACTGAATGATCTTATTCTGCAAGCCGACTGTACAATTGTGCAGACATTGATGTTGCCATTAAACTATTTTATGATAGCTTGTACACGTTTTTATACCCTGAACCCATTAAAAATGGTTAATCAGGGTATATTGTATTTGTGCAAATGTACGTAACAGGCAGAAGGAAGCATCTCCGACCCCATAAAGCATATATATTCTTCATCAGCAATAATAGCCGAGCCGATCTAGCCATGTCCGTCTGTCTGTCTGTCCGTATGTATGAACGCAAGGATATCAGAACCTATAAAAGCTAGAGTTTCCGATATTCGATAACTTGCCCCGTTTCCAAGTAATCGATAAAAATCGATATCAAAATCCTGTTTTTGAGCAATTTCGGTAAATAATATGAGCTAGAGTCACCAAACTTGACATGTAGCTTCTAGAATAGTATATATATATCAAGTATCTTTCATTTTATACCTATCGCCACCTCCCCGCTACCACCGCAAAGCTATAAATCAAGTTAATTATACAACTTGTATTGCCCATCAATTTAAGCCACAATTTATATGCAATTGCATTTTTGAGAATACACAAATATTCTTTATTCTATTCCAATTCTGTACTGTCGAAAATTTCATTAAGATCGGTTAAGAAACACAAAAGTTATGTGCGCACGTGTTAGCAACATAGCTGCTGCGCAAATTCCAAGAATTTCTGTATACATGTACACACACACACATTCATGCGTGTCTGCTTTGAATTCTATCAACAGCATTGCAATTGCGATTGTATTGTTTTCTGTGCTGCTATTTTAAATGGTTTTTTTCTCAATAATGCTAAATTATTGGTGTGGCCCTTGAGTAGAGGCAGCGGCAAGTGGTGCGGCTAGTTGCGAGCTCTCGGAACAATTTTTTCCTTTTTTTTTCA